TGAACCTCCAGTTGTTGCCAAATTTCCTTTGATAAAACGCGAATTTCCGGGTAAACTTAGGAATATTTTTCTCCCAATTTTTCAATTAATTTTGTTCGCAATTTCACCTTAAGTCCCTGAAAATCTAAAGGAAAAATATTCATAACTTTCCTCGAAAATATACATTTTATCGAAGGAAATTTGGCAACTCTCGAGTGTTCATACGGCGTTTTTCCTTAGCACGGCAGTGCAGGTCAATAATGACCCGCTGAGCTCGCTCTTTCTCAATGTTTGAGATATGAACCAGGTTTTCTGAGGTGGGTTTAACCATTTAAACGATGTTAATAATTTTCATAATTTGCCATAGTTCGTTCTACAACTCTGCTCGGACGCGATTTTTATTATTTTTGCGGGTATTATCAAGAAGTAACCTCGAGATGGACCCACTCTCTTCTTAGTTTCGGAATATTAATATGACTAAGGAAGCGGTTTTTTGAGGGTGCAAAGAGTCCTCTGGGGTTTGGGCCCCGTTGTTGCGGGCAAGAAAGGTATACCGGGTATACCTCCGGTTATACCTCTGGGTATACCTCCAGTCATGCTATACCCGTACCCCCTATTACAATTACGCACGAACCGAATGTAGTGCGACCGATTAGGAACGCCATTCTACAGTACATACGACCGAACTTTCTCGCTCGATGCAGCAGCTGACGTTTTACTTGTCTTTAAATTTAAAAAAAAGAAAGAAAGGGAAAGACAGCAAATGGACATGAACGATTTGTGACCATGAAGCACGGATCTGGTCTTCTCACCTGACTCGTGAACATTAAAGTTTAAGTCTGATATAATTAAGAGTAGCAGAAGAAACGGTAAGCATACAATAATACGAATTCTTAAACACAGCCGCACAGAGGAAGAACGCCGTATGAATAACATTTATCTTGAAGGAGTGCATCTAATTTAGCTCTTTCATGTGTCAGGAATTTGCGACTTAAGTACGTAACTTAAGTATACTTAGACTAACTTAAGTACTTAAGTATGTAAAATTGCGCGAGAAACACGATGGTGCCACTAGTTTGCTCTGGAATCAACTCCAAAGCTCAAAATAAGCTCTCGAAGTTGTGGCTGTAACGGAGGGGATATCCCACGCCACCCTGAAAGATCATCTCCATATCTACACAAACTCTCTACAAACTCTCTTCTCTATGCAAAATATAGATAGCAAATATATTAACAAGGTTGCCACTTTGTTTGGGGCCTCCAAAAGAGAAAACACGGCAACCCTGCCAATATATTTGCTCTCTATCTTTGCAATAACTTTGAGAGCTTTTTTTTTGAACTTTGGAGTTGATTTCGGAGAAAATCATTGGCGCCATCGTGTTTCTCGCGACATTTTACGAAAGTATGAGCACTTGAATCGCAACTCCCTCACGCATGCAGGAGCGCCATTACACTGAAAAAAGTGTTATGGAATGTTATCTTGGAAATGTCCATACCACCCAACGACCCCTACCTCTATTTTCTGTGAAATATTATTCATTGAAATTGTAAGGTATTTTATATTGAAGTTCGAGGAGAATAGACTGAAAAAAATTGAAAGAAAAATACTACCTATTAAGTTTCCCGGGAAATTCATTTTTTTATCAAGGGGAATCCAGCAACGTCTTAAAGGTTCGGCCGGCATTCCTGGACCTAAGGAGTCCTCTGATCATCGGTGCTATGCACGTATTCTCCATGATTCAAGCGAACGGTGTTGCGGCTCTAAATGAGTGAGGTACGCGATACATGATTCTTCAGCGGATGTCCTTACGCCATTTAAAATGGACCATTTTAGGCACCGCTGCATTGTGTCACGGATTAAATAGTGTAGGTAGCTGGTAGCCCGCTTTGGTTGCTTACATAGTTCTGCCGAGCTAAGAAAAAACGCCGCATGCGACTTCAGACGTTGTCGAATATCCCCTCATAAAACATTTGTTTCTTAGATTAGTTATGCATGATATTCCTTGCAATTTTCAGATATTTGAGATTGAATTGCAAACTAAAAATAGTCTGAAAAATTTGAGGAAAAATATTCACAATTTTCCCTGTATTTACAATTGATTCTCATTGGAAGAAATATTGCAACGTTTAAGGGCTGATGCGGAGTTTTTCCTTAGCGCGACAGAGCTGGCGCCCATACACTCCCAGCTACGCGCTTCACTGTTGAGGCGAATCTACAATGGAAATATGCCAACAGGCAACACCAGGATATCGAACACATTGTTTTTAAAAATTATGTTGTTGGTATCACTTTGAAATTTTAGCAAAAAGTGGATACATTACGCTCAGAGGCGCATTCTAGATGTTCCTTCCCAAAAAATCTATATAATAAACCCTGCAATAAAGCTAAAGTAACCGGACGCGATTTATTGAATTCGATTAATTGAATCGAGGGGATGATTTTCGCGTTCGGATACTTTTAACTTTAATTCAGATTTTACGAAGGAGATTTTTCGGGAATTATGCTGAACTGTGCCTCCGGGATTGATGGATCCGTTTCATGCCGATTCAAATGATTGAAACCAGTCAGTAGTTCAGAAAACTGCCTTGGATTTACGGGGGTGCGAAGTGCTTTCGACCGCGCGGAAATTTCGGAGGAGCCCTAAAAATCGTGGAGACTGATTTTTTTTTTTGTTCCAGGATGTTCAGATTTTCTAATTTTCAGTTTTTGCTGTTTCTTTTAAAATCTGTTTTTCTTGACATCTTTCTAGCAGTATTTAATTGCTCTCTAAAATTTTAATACAATTTTAATCAGCAATTTGTGTTGAACTTTTTGAGAAAATTACCAAGGCCTAGTCTGCACCCCTGGTTTGATAATAATTGATAACTCCAGTGGCGTGTTTACGGGGGGGGGGGGGGGGGGGGNGGGGGGGCGGCAATTGTCCCCCCCTCCCTGAGCCTCAAAAAGAGAGAAAAAAAACAGGAGAAATCAAGGGAAAGGAAGAAAAATCGGGTGGAGAGAGAACACGATGTTATTTTCGTCTTGAGAAACGAGTGGAAGGATTCGAAGTCGGACGAAAAGGCCTCGAGCTTCGCCTCAGAAGCCTCATCCTTTCTTCAGGAAGTTAGTGGGGTTTTTCCATCCCATACTTAAAACAAAACATCCCATTTGGTTATGTATAAACGGTCATTTTTTTAAGGTCTTTTTGGGGGAAAATGATGGAGAGATTCTAATCACTATTCATGACAGCAATTGTTAAAAACGGGGGGTTGTCTTTACGGGGTTAAAATCCTGCAAATTTTCCGGGGGTGGCCCCCCGGCCCCTCACTGCAGCTGCGGGGTATTCCATACCCCCCAACCCCCCCCGATGGGAGGTTTGTCCCCCCCCCCCCCCC